GCTGAACCTTTCATTAGGGGTATCAAAGACCGATTAGTTGGGGAAGGGAGATCAGGTCTGTCCCCCCTGCCATGCCTCTTCCATGTGTTCATAAAGAACAGATTGACCTCAGAAATCATATCCTCTTTTGGACAATCTAGTAATTTAGCTAATTTTTTGGCTCCAAATGCAAATGCACTACGTATCCGAAAAAAGTTGCCTGTAAAACAACCATATATGAATCAATAATACATCCATTAATGATAAGCTTCAATTAATTAAGTTTATAAAGTAAAAAGCAGCTATAAATTTAAAATTCTACTGTATATTGCAACCAACCTAGAAAAGTAAATAATCAAAATCCTAAAAAAAAACATCATCAACAAAATATAACGAATAAAAACTAATGATCAACATCCGTTCAATAAATAATACCTTTACTAACACTCCGTCCAAGATTGTTGTTTGTACGTAACGGATCGATTACATTGAAATGTTTGGATACAAATTGCTGGCCTTGATTTTCTTGACCGCCTGGAAAAACAGCATAAACAGAACTGCAAGCCTGGAGGAAAAGCCCACTAAGCAACAACTCGCCACCATCCTTTCGAGGAGATTCCGCTGTACAAGTTGTGCAGGGTATTTAATAAGCCTACACAGAAACAATACAAAAACAACAACAAAAACAGCAACAAAGCCTTAATCCCACTACGTGGGGTTGGTTACATGAATCCTTTTTCTCCATTGCGTCCTATTTAGTGTCATATTTCATTTAATTATAATAAATTAAGATCATTTTTTATACAATAAGCCCAAGTTTTCCTAGGTCTACCTCTGTCTTTCTTAACATAAGTCGAATCTAAAACATCTACTCTCCTAATCGGATCATCAAATGGTCGACACTTAATAGGACAATAAGATAAAAAAAATAGAAATAATTAAATTGCACAAACCTGACATATCTGGAAGTGAGCTAATTGGAACTGGTCCCCAAAGGCTAACACAAAAGTTGTCCCAGTCAAAATGACTAAAAAATTCCAGAAAACGATATAAAACCTCAAGCGGTCCGTTAAAGGAATTGTTAAAAACATGAAATATGTAAAGAACCAAAGTTTCCAAAGCATATGTTGAAATAAGTCCGTGATGGGCACCAAGTATCCGACTCTCGTAGTAGCACCAAGCTTTAATCAATATGATGCTCCTCTTGAATAAATGATTCTGATTTATCAGATGGTCAATCTATAACAGTAGACAATATGTTAGTCAAAGGCTAAAAATAAAGCATCTCAAGTGAAAAATAAGTATGTCAAAATGCTGGAGTAATTGTTTCAAATCATCAGAGAACCACAAACTCACCTCTTCAAGGAAACATAGAGTACATAACCCACCAACCTGATTGAAAGATATGTCTACAACAATATTTTCTACGAGACACTTAATTATTTTAACCTGAAAAAAAAAACCAAGAAGTTCATCAAAATCAGGCTCAACAAATTAAAACAATTTTAAATAGCTAAAAACTGAAAACAAATTTTACATGATGAAGTTTCCTAACTCATGAGGTGCATATATGTGGGACGGATTAGAACCACTTGGAACAGATCATATGAAAATGTAGAGCGATGAGAGTCTGTGTATAAGCGCAGAAACAAAACTATAAATAAAGGGAGATACATACCAAATACCACCCAATTCCTATCTATTTACACATCTAACACTTAGTTTTATCATTATTTTTACATTTATACCTCCCAAATCTTTCATATCAAATCAAAAATATATCACTATTTTAATTTTTAAAAACTGGAAAACATCTTTTTATGTATTTCTGTGAAGTGGTTTGGGTGATCAAATTATTAAAAGATGTGAACAATTCAGATATCTCGAGTCTGTTGTTCAAGTCTGTTGTTAGTCTGTTGTTCAAAGCGATGGTGATATAGATAAGGATGTTAATAGTAGAATTCAAGTTGGTTGGTTGAAGTGGAGGAATGCTTCGGGCCTTTTCTGTGAAACAAAAGTACCGCTTGGACTGAAAGGAAAATTTTGTAAGACGATGGTGAGACCTGCAATGTTTTATGGCGTTGAATGTTTGCCTTTAAAAGAGAAACATATTACTAAGTTAAGTGTTGTCGAGATGAGAATAATTAGGTGGATGTGTGCCTTTACACTTAGAGAGAAAATGTGAAATGAATATATCCGTGATAGGGTTGGTGTACCTCCTGTGACGGACGAAATTAGAGAAAGCCGTCTTAAATGGTTTGGTCACATTAAGCGTCGACCATCTAATGATCCGATTACGAGATTAGATGATTTAGATTCGACTTATGTTAAGAAAGGCAGATGTAGACCTAGGAAGACTTGGGTTTATTGTATAAAAAATGATCTTAATTTATTAGAACTAAATGAAAATATGACACTGAATAGGACGCAATGGAGAAAAAGGATTCATGTAGCTGACCCACGTAGTGGGATTAAGGCTTCGTTGTTGTTGTTGTTGTTGTTGTTAATTTTTTACTTCTAAAAAGTGAAACGCGTATTTTATGCATTGGCAAGGTGGCATATATGCAAAAAATAAATTTTGTGTGTTATATATGTAAATACATAGGAATTAAGTTGTAGGTATGTAAATCTTCCAAAATTAATACCAGCAAAAATTGCAAAATCACCAAATATGGTCCATTTTGGGTGAGCACTTGAAAATATTGTTCATTGTCAATATGTATTTTAAGTTATAATATGACAATATGTATGATTTTGTACTTCAACCATTTATTGCACTAATTATTATTATAGATATTTTATGTGTTTGGATTTATCTAATTAAAAAAGTGAGAAGGATATCTATTCATACACGATTACTTTGAGACTTGAATTTACAAATAACAAAAACAGAAACACGCCAAAAACTCTACTCAGTAGATATTTTATAATATATATTACTGCATTGAAATGCAATTAAATTTTTTTAAGCTAAGAATTTGGCAGAACCACTCTTTTACTCGTATAATACTGATATATAACAATTATTTACTAAAACTTTCAACTCCTTGAGCTTTGAAAAAAATATAAAATATATCTTAAAACAAAATAAAAATAAAAAAGATGTGGTTTGAGAGACTTACTTTGATATTTTATGGATAAAAAACTCCTTTTTCAAGTTAGATCTCTGGTATGGATAATCAGTTTTTTAATTAAATACATTCTCAGCTCTTATTGTTAGTTGAGATGTGTCATCTTAATTTCTAATTAGCATCAAAGTTGGCTTTTAAGCATTTTTTGCTTTCCTATATTTTATCACTTATTTAAAAAATAAATGGAACCTCAAATCCTTTTTCATGTTTAGCTTTTTAGTCAAAAATACATTTTCCATTAAGTTAATCTAGCACATTTAGCTTAAATTAATATAAGCATTCATGTTCTTAATCCGAAATAAAGTGAAAAATCTATCGTAAACAAGTTTTCACTAGTTCTTTGGACAGTATTTGTCATTTTAACCGTAGTTATAATAATTTGCTATGGTTCAAGAAGCAAAACATGTTAATGTGATACAAATTTGTCTCCCATTAAGTGCCCTATTTTCTAACTAAGATTAAAACCAAACTCTTGGGGACCATTTAGGATCACTTTTTATTTTTGTTTTTTGTTTTATTTTTAGTTTATTTTGAATAAATTTTTACTTGAAATAAAGATATTTCTTAATTTATAATATGTTTAGTTATTTTTAAAAAACACTTAAAACAATTTTTAGATGTTTGAATGTATTTAAAAAAAGATAATTTATTTAAAAAAATAAAATAAAAACATGCAAGAAAATGCACTCAACAAACATGGTTTTAAAATAAAAGCAAAACCAAAAAAACAAAATTTATCCCAAACAAGCCCTTGGGTTGTAAGTTAATTAGCCTTTCTAAAAAAAATCAGATAGCCAACCGTTCAAAATCATTCAAACCGCAGCTTGTTGGTACAACAAGCTAATATACACCTAGCAAAATGGAGATAAAAAAATAAATAATAGGCACACAATGCACACCTCTATCAAATTGAACAAAGCATACATTCACAAATAGCATATAACGGCCACAATAAGATTGAATGCATTGAACCTAACTAGCTGAAAAACAAAGCATAGAAAATGGAAACGAAGGAAGTAGCCAAAGGCAAGAAAAAGAAGAATACTCAAAAATATCAGAGAACAATAGGATTCAATGAGACAAATGATAAGAAATAAGAGAATACTCAAAAAATGCTTATGGTTCAGAACTCTAGCACCCATAATCAGTGGTATTGTAACGGCCGCAATAAGATTGAATGCATTGAACCTAACTAGCTGAAAAACAAAGCATAGAAAATGGAAACGAAGGAAGTAGCCAAAGGCAAGAAAAAGAAGAATACTCAAAAATATCAGAGGATAATAGGATTCAATGAGACAAATGATAAGAAATAAAAGAATACTCAAAAAATGCTTATGGTTCAGAACTCTAGCACCCATAATCAGTGGTATTGTACGGCAGGCAGTTATGAAGAACAAATGAGAAGAGGTAAATCAATAATAAATTTGAAGACTCGACTATTTAAGTGTATCACATTGATGGATGAGACAAATAAAATTTGCCTATCAACTTTTATTGTTAGCATGCAATCAATAGGATTTATATAAGAGAATACTCAAAAAATGCTTATGGTTCAACAATCTAGCACTCCTAATCATTGGTAGCGTATGGCAGGCAGTTATGAAGAACAAATGAGAGAAGGGGGTAAATCAATAATAATTTGAAGACTGATTATGTAAATGCATCAAATTGATGGATAAAAAAGATAAAATTTGCCTATCAACTTGTATTATGAACATGCAATCAATAGGCGTCAACTTATACCGAACATACATGGCATCGGTCAATGCAAAACGATTTGAAGCTCAGATTCCCACCACTCACATTAATAACTCGGCCATAGGGATCTTTGAGTTTATACTCATTAAAAACATTTGAATAAATAAATGATAAGACAAATTCATTTTATTTTATTTCAAACATTTTTATTTCCTTGCTTGTGTTTTTATTCAAATATGACCCATATGATATGGCTTATTCTATTGCATTAAGACTTTTTCTAATCTATGAAATCTCTCGATTGATTTGATTGAGTAGCTAACTTCATTGATTCTACAACAAAATTTTGATTTGATCAAACAAGTTGAAAGATGTGAATCTTATTTGATTGAAATAACAAATCCATAATTTGCAATACTATGGATTCATGAACTTGTGTTTTTTCTAGATGTTTCATTTCCACATGAAGTGTTAGCTCATTGTAGGCTCCAACATTTATATTCGATTTCACCAAAGTTCCTTCTATGTGATTCAATAGGGCAATTAAGGATTTTTATATAAGATTGTAAAAAAGAGCTTCTATTGGTTGCTTTTCTAGCTATGACTAAGTATCATAGTTTGATTTAATATTTCTCGCTAGTATGGTTGGGATATTGATACAAATGCTTGAAATGGTTGGTATAACAGATTCCTATAGCGGTGAGCTAAATTTGAGGATTAGGTGCTTGGAGGCCCTTGCTGCGCATTTTCAATAGCTTTTTTTTCTTTTTATTATGTTTTTTTCAACAGTATAAATTCCATTGTGCTGAATTTGTATAAATCTCATCCATTTCAATATTCAATAAATTTAAATGAGCCGACAGCTGAGGTTAAAATTTTAAATTAAAAACCATGGGTACTAGATGCTTAAAGGTATCAACATCTAAGGCATGTAATTCATTGGGAAATTATCACTAGAATTTTAAATTCCCATTTTCAATCTTGTGTGCCTCAATTGGCTTCATAATTCATTGAATTGTGGTGAAAAGTAACAAATGACTTCCAAAGGAAGACATTTCATTGTGTAAATGTGATGCTACTATTTTTTTTCACTTTAGGGCGGTATTTGGCTGCAGCTGCAGATTTATGTTAATAGGATGTATCAAATCCATGAAATGCCGCGAGCTCGCGGCATAGAGGACGTGAGCAACAACAGAGTGAATCCGTGTAATCCGCCTCACGGTTGTAATTGATAAATCAGAGAGAATTGGATTTAAAGGAGTGTTGGATTTGGTTTTCCCTCTTTTTAGTGCTTGGCTGCATTTAGGTGAGATCCATCTCTAAATCCTGTCAGAATTGTGCTACCAAATACCCAACTGTTTTCTTATTAAAGATTGTTTTTAATATTATAATATATAATTGGTCAAATGTGCTACAACTATGAATTTATTTGTATCAAAAAAATTAAAATGCTTCCTGATTTTCCATAAGTTGAAGCTCTTTTTCGCATCTTTGATTAAATTTATCACTGCATTATCAGTTATTTTTTATAGTCACATACTTTGTGTTTAAACCAAAAAATACTTCAGCTTTTTAATGTTTAATGGCATTTTACTTATAGATCTGCGAATCCTAATTTCTTTTGAATTACTAAAATTTATTTCATCGTTAAAAAATACATCAATGGATATCCAAGTTTATAGTTGCATCATTATGCAAACTAAGAATAGAACCTAATAACTAGGTCAATCAAAAAATAACAAATGATGCAATTTAGATAAAATCATTTAAGCTATAGCGCTAGACAAGTACAACTTGAGTATCAATCATGAAGTTCAAATTGTATATTTATGTTCAATAGAAGGAATAATCTTAACAAAATTTTTAAATTGGTTCAATAATTTGTAAGACTAATTTGAATATTATAATCAATAAGACTCACAAATAGTTGAATGTGCTAAAGCCGACAAGCCAGTTATCCTCTGTCATTTTTCAGAATATCATAATCATTATCTTAAGATTATCATATCAATGATTAAAAACCCTTAAAAAACAATCTCCTTTAAATGATACCACCAATAAACCAAAATAAGACCATGTATCATTGAATTTGATCACAGTGAAGAAATCATGACTAAAAAAAAAATTAATTTAAGGATGTTTCAGATGAATAATACAATTTGCATGAATCTGCAACTATCATTAAACAAATTCATGAGTATGAATATATACTTGAATAAGAATTGGAATTTAAGTCTTCAATTAGTTAGCTAAAGATGAAACACAACTAATCATATTTAATGTAGCTGATGAACCGAACAAATACAACGGTATTGCAACTCTTGATGAATTATCATCTAAAATTATTCCATGATAATTAATTTGATCTAAATAGATAATTTATTTGTCCTTGAAGACATAATATATCAATTTATACAAAGATCCCTATAAAGAGAGTTAAATTGCACTAAAACTTCAGAAATTTATTAAATGTGAATGTTTTAAATGAAATCTAAGATTTAAAATTTCATCCATCTAGCCTATTCTAAAGGTGCATAATTTATCACAACTAATATTTAAGTTTTTTCAGTTAAATTTCTATGAAGAGGTTGTTCAAACATATTTAAAGCTCGCATTCTAAACGTGCATGACTTTTGGCTTTTCTAGAATAGTCTAATTAGACATATTAGCGTGAGGTTCTATGTATTTATCCATTCCATGCCTAAGGTGCTTCCACGAGGTTTCTTCTTTGGGCTTCAATTGGATAATCGGACTTTCATAGTAATAAACTTATTTAAGTAGTTTCTTCGGCCATCACTTGGAGTCTCCTACTATTATTTCTTGATTTTGGTTAAGAGTGGTTGGGTATTGTTACAGAGGCATCATGTAAACTTGTGATGGCATGAGGTCTTTAGATTTAAGAACCTTTTTAACAATTTAATTTGCTTTCACATTTTCAATTGGGTTAAATTTGTGTGATTTCTTCTTATATAGTTGGATTTTACTAAGCTGGTGGCTGAATTTTAGAATATAAATTAAACTAATGAGAGGCACTAATGAAGAACAAGATGCTTATTAGCTACTCACAACCGAAGACGAAATTCATTTGCTTTTCATCATTAAATTTTTCATATTCCAATTATAAATCTATTTTGTACCTATTAAACATGAAATTTCTTTGACTGTTGTAGGAATATGATAGAAAACATTAAGGGCGAGATATGTACTAATAAGGATTGAATTTTCTTAGTTTTAATGATCTCTTTCATTAATTTATTTTTTTTCTTATTAGTTTGTTAATTGGTGATGTGACGGACAAATTTTGGTCAAATTTGATACAAATATATTGACCATCTAATGATTTCGTTAGGAAAATAGATGCTTAAGATTTGAACTATGTCAAGCAAGGTAGAGTTGGACCTAGAAAGAATCGGGCATGCTGTATAAAAAATGATCTTAATTTATTAGAATTAAATGAAAATATGACACTCAATAGGACACAATAGAGAAAAAAGATTCAAGTTGCCGAACCCACTTAGTGGGATAAATGCTTTTTGTTGTTGTCCAATTGCTTGTAGATTTGTTTGGTATGAATATATAATTAATATCATTGAATTAATTAATTATTGTATTATTATATGGTTTAAGCTTTCATGCAAGAAATTTACATCTAAAGAAAGCAAATTATCATTTTTCATCACCCAATGTAATCTATGAAAATAATACAAGCTTACCTAACTACTGAAAATTTAAAGGGAATAAAAATTTTTAAAGTATAACTAAAGCCATATTCTGCATTTTTTAACAATCAACTTCCTCTACTTATGATTTTAAGTAAAAATAAGCACAAGATGAAAGAGAGGCAAACATCTTAAGGGTTTTGTTTCCAATTAATTTGAAAAACAAAAAAAGGATCAATTTCTACAAAAAAAATCAAAAACATATATTGGCCAAATTTCTATTAAAATTACTCCAACATTAAATTTAATTCAAAAAGTATAAAATTAATGACATGATAAATTGTAACAAAAGGAAGCAATAGTAGCAAAACTATCAAATAGTAAGCCCTACCGAACAGATAATTTCTTCATGAAACTTGATCAGAGGTAAAATTAAAAAAAAAAGCAGATTAAAAGAGAACCGAAAAACACAGGAATAGCAAACGCTTCTTACTATTTGGGATTCACCAAGCCGACATTTAATAGCTGGGCTAAACCAAATGATGATGAAGATGATTTTTAAAAAAAAAAACTAATTTTAAACAAAAAGAATTTCAATTAGGTTGGAAAATAATAGTTCCAACACATTACCGGTCATTATGTCAATACTTGAATATCACATAAGATCTTAGATAAAATAACTCAATCAAGCACTCACCAATTTTATATTCAAGCAAGCATGGAAAAATGTTCCAAACATGTTCCACCTAAAGATCATTCATTCTCTTTCTACTTTGAGTTCTAAGTTTCAAAATCCTTTAAGTTTTATCAATTGATTTAATCTAATGTGAAGCCAGTAGTCACCAAGAGGATAGTTTTGAAAACAAGAGGAAAGAGGGTTTTTAACATGAAAGCAAAATAATAAGCATCTGTAGGACTCAGCAAAAAGATTCTCAGCTACAATAGGAAAGCTATAAATATATTTCAAAATTAATAGAAAAAACAATATCCTTTAAAACCAAATAGTAATGTATATAATATGATAGTAAAAGTATGCCAAATAAAACACTAGGCAATCCTGGAAATGATTATATGAGAAATAATTACGTTAAGGTGGATTTGTGCATAATTAGAAAGGATAGATTTAACATGATGACTGTAGGAGTAGCAATCATTAAAGATAATATTATGAAATGAAAATTGTAATTTGCGCATATACAATAAAATGTACAAGATCCGCTGACAAACAGATAGATAACCCATTAAGTAACACCCAAAAAGAACAAATGGAAGATAAGAATGCTAATAATGAAGACAATCTAGGAAGCCATTATTTGCGTCAAATGAAAATAGGCATCCATCACAAACCAAGAGAAGGATTTTCAATGCAATTATATTTAGTTGATCATTTTAATAACTTAAACAAGACTATATAGACGGATAGATAGATAGAAATGTCCTCCATACATTGATAGGTGCACATATCAGTTATTAATTATATAAAATTTGAAATATATATTATAGTCAGTGTTTGGATAAAATTTCTCAAGAAACAATATCGTGTGATCAATGATGCAGAACAAATAAACTCCAAAAACGGTAGAAAAAGAATGAATCTATTGTTCAATAACACCACGTTGCAAGAAATAGCTCATACGATGCTGCTTAGGATTTTTAAAAAAATTTAAGTTAAATTTGTCATAATCGTAAACACTTTGCATATAATCAAACTTTCACTTTCAAATTAAAGATGCAAATCATTTCAAAACTTGTGCGGGGAAAATTACAAAGGAAGTGACATCCAAGTAGATAAAAGGACTTGCCTCTGCTTGAATGTACTGGACTTCCTTAACACGAAATTCAGCACTCCCACTCCTTTCTTCATTCTCAAGTACCTCGCGTACTTCATTGGCCCAATTACCTTTCAAATCTTCATTCTTATTAAATACAGTCAGGTCGATGTCCCCATCAGGTAAATAAGTCTTCAAAGGTACTGACCCAAAAGTAAAAACCTGAAAATTCATCATATTTACCAAACCAAAACAAAAACAAAATTGAAAAATGTGCTTAAAATGACAAGCAAAGTGAAACATGTCCTACTGCTCATTGCTAAGAACAAAAATCAGTTATGCATAACAAAAACAATAGCATGTAAACTTAAAAAGATGGAGGAAAATAAAGGGTAAATATCACTTGAGTCTTTGAGTTATAAATCATGCCTAATGTTGTTCTGCTCGTTAAAAAAAATCCATTTTTATCACTCAAAAGCAAGATATATCAATGGAGTTCCTTACAATGCCAATTGAAAAAATTTGAAAACAATCACTCTTCCCTTGCTCTATCGTGTATCTAATACATAAAATGAAGAGCTCACAGCTCCAATGAGGTGGCAAGGCTAAAGAATAGACTTAATACAAACCAATGAAAGCATTTTAATTATTTTAATTCCTCCAATTACCATCAAAATCATCGTGGATGCTTGAATAGTGACATATATTCACTATAGCCATGACCACATCGAGGTTCATTGTCACAAATGTAGCCTCAATCAGTGAATCAAACCTCCTTAAGATTGTGCCTCATTGATGGTCATGATCCTCTAGACAGAGGAAGAACTAGGTTATGTCCAGGGTAGGCAATTGCTCACCTAGAAATTTGGAAACTTTCTATACAAGTAATAAATTAAATATTTTTTCTTATATAGTTTAGAAAATTTACAGGAGAATGTAAAATGGTGTATGATTTTTTGCTAATGGTATCCTTTTGGTGGATAAGACTAGAGAAAGATTTTAGGAAAAAAATGAATTATGGAGGTCAATTTTAGTGTCTAAAGGCTTTCCTTTGAGTAAATCTAAAACTAAATAGATGGAATGTAATTTTAGTAGTAGTAAATCTAGTGGTGTGGTAATAATAATGGGTGATTAAATCATTAAAAAGAGTGAACGTTCTAGATATATCATGTCTGTTGTTTGAAGTAGTGGTGATATAGGTGGGGATGTTATTAGTAGAATTTAGATTGGATGGTTTAAGTTAAGAAATGCATCGAGCCTATTGTTTGATAGAAAAGTACAACTTATACTTAAAGAAAATTTTTATAAGGTGATGGTGACAGTTATACTGCTTTATGGTGCAGAAACTTGGCCTATAAAAGATGAGCATGAAATTAAGTGTTGTTAAGATAAGAATGTTTAGATGGATAAGTGGCTTTACATTTAAAAGACAAAATGCAAACAAATATATCTATGAAATGGTTAGTGTAGCTCTAGTGGCAGACAAGATTAGATAGAGTTATCTTAGATGGTTTAGTCGCATTAAATGTCTACCATATGATGATCTTGATAGGAGAGATGTTTCAAATTTGACTTTTGGTAAGAAATATAGAGGTGAGAAGACTTGGGCATGTTATATAAAAAAACTGATCTTAATCTATTAGAATTAAATGAAAATATAATCATCAATAGGAAACAATGTAGAAAAAGATTCATGTAACCGACCCTACTTAGTGGGATAAATGCTTTGTTGTTGTTTTTACATAGTTTAGGAAATTTAGTAATTTTTCCCCCACGATATTTTTTTTTATCCAACGCTTGAAAAATTACGCATTTGGTAATTTTATCAAAGATTTGGTCATCTATAAACTTCACCATGAAGAATGTAGAGCCAAAGCACCTAAACATATTTTCTCTTCACCTTTGTGTGAATAAAATGAAAGCTCCAAAAGCACCACAAAAGATATATCATTGGCACAGCCAAGGTGAGGTTGCCAATGAAGAGGTGGAACTAAATTTCAGGAGGTACTTTAGGAGCTGAGATTTGAGATACCTAACCTAAAAAAGAAAAAAAGCTAGAAGGGGGTGAGAGATTTCAAAAGCTAAATAAACTAGCTTGGATCTCACAAACTTTTTATCATGGTATGACTTTGCTTATGAGACCCAATTTAAGCAAATGATCCTACAAGAATTTCAAAAGCTAAATAAACTTTGCAAAGATCTATATTTGATCTTAAGTATCAATTCGGAACTATAAATAAAAACATTTTGATCGCAAACTTTATAGAAATCAAATTTCAGTTAAAAATAATGTCTATGAGATAAAATTAAGAAAAAAAGATGCAAAAAAATAACCTCGTGGACTAATTAATAAATTTAAGAAAATCAAACCTATTTGCATTTATCCTAATTAATTGCATGTTATCCATCAATTATTTGCTTTTTGAAACCTTATTGTAAATCATAGGAATTATGAGTATATTATAATTGCTCATATAAGATATATGAAATTCAAATATCATAATAACATTATGATCAATTCAAATACGGAAAGATCTACTTCAAGAACTCTCAAAGAATTACCTCACAATATATTATGAATAATGACTATAAATTTGGAAATCATGAAAATTCTAGTCCAAGTCAATTTTAAAATATAGCTTATTCGTTGACATATCATGAATGATGAATCATTAGCTAATAATTGGATTTTCTATTTTTCAATCCTTTGGTTTCATACTCAACAAAACCCATGCATAATTTCTAGAATTGTTCCAAAATTATTGAGATGTATAAGAGTTTCCTCATGTAGCAAAGAGATGTGACTATTTAATTTCTTCAGGACATTAAATTACAATAAAGCAGTGTGAAATGTATAAATTTAACATAGTAAACATTTTAATAATTAAAATGAATATCTATGAATTGTTCCTGTACCTCCTTTGAAGCAATTATCATAACTCTTCATTCAACTTCCTTTTTTGTGTCCATTCTTGTGAAAAAATTCCTTAGTGCTCGTTTCTCAAGAATTGAGCAAGATTCTCCAATGACATTATAAATGATAAATTTTACTAACTAAACTCCTTCAAGGGTGGGAGACTAGCATTCTTTCCTCGTAAATTTTGTGATTGCTTTGACAATTTCCATAATGATGTGACTTACTTGGTGAGGTTCCGCTGCAAACACGTGGTTTGAAGGGTTCATAAAATGATATGAGGCTTGTACAAAAAACTTGTACATGGACTAATAATACATAATTTATTTTTAAATATGTAAACATTATTCCTAGGGTGACATTCCTTTATCAAGCATAAAATTTGAAGAATTTAGAAGATATTATCTTCTTGTACGAACATGAGGTTTACTTATCTATGAAATTGATCCCATTCCTCCCTTCTCCCACATTCTTCTTATCTTCATTTATGTTTACCAATTTAAAATAGGATTGAATTTTGCCAAATCATATAACCTAATATGATCATGATGATTAAATTTCAAATTGTGAATTTTATGATCTTTAACTTCTTTCTTCATTAATGCTGGTTGAAGAACCAAATATTTCTTCTGAATTGGAATTTACCTATTTCAATTTTCATTTAAATTAAAGATTAATAAAATGTAAATACAACATACACAAAAAAAATAAAATATTCATCCCTTCATAATCTACGAGATAAGCTCAAACCATATTAGGCAAATAAATATATTATATTTGTACAAAAAATCTCCAATTAATCAAACTCCTTGTGGAAGCAAATATTAAAATTTGAATGAGGGGTACCAAAAAATATGCATTAAACTTTAGGCTACACCCCTGCAAGCTAGTACAGTTACAATTCAAACCAGTGCACAAGGCAAGTTGTCCGAGAAATCACGTGACAAAGCATTGGTGAAAACATTTACTGCAAGATATTTGATGCAATAAGACACATTATCAGACAGAAATACATTCAAAATTTCTAATAAGTTAGTCTCATTTTAGAGGAATTTAATAAGTTCTAATAAACCACTTTCTTATATTGCACTACTTAACATGAAAAAAAGGAAGATTTACATACATAACACAAAATTCTCATGAATTTACATAAAACTAAAATAAAAAAAAACTGTATTTACATATGTAGCACCTAAAATTTGATTTTTACATTTATGCAACTTTACCTAAATTTGAAAAGGTATATTTCAATTTTTTAAAGTAAGTAATAGTGACATTTTCTATTATATATGATAAATTTGGGTGTTATGAATGTAAAAAAAACAAAGTTTAGATATTAATGATGTAAATATATAGAAATTGAGTAGTATCTATGTAAATGCCCCAAAAAAGAGTTTTTTACCAACTATTTGGGTACACCACAATCATCCATTTTTTACTATGTCCAGAAAGTGCAACTTCATTTAAGAAAACAATATATATTAATCATTTCAGAGTGGTATTTCCAAATAGTCATAATTTGTGGAAGAAGTCCAAAGTAACTTATTATAGAACTATGAAAATCAATGGCAGCCAAAAGCATACCAACCTCACAAGAGAAGCACTTCATGATTAGCTTCTGGACATAGTTGGCCACAGCATTTCTGCTCTCCTCTGATGGCCGGTTTGGTTGAATACAAGCAAGCAGCTCAGCAGTTCTCTCTTCAGCCTTCATCCATCGATCCTTATCAAGCAATCGAGTCACATTGCCGCCTTCATTGGGACGAAGACCATTAAGCAGTAGGTCACCTGGATGTGACCAGGCTCCATGCTCGCCCATATAAAGCTGCTGCAGATCGCTTAAATCTCGCCGTCTCACCCCCACTTCCACTTCCTTCAATACAGCAGCATCAAGCACAACACCCTACCTCCATTTGAGCACAATGTACAGCTAAAACGGAAAAGAATGGCTGTGATCGACTACAGACCAAAGGTAAAGAGCCGTGAAACCCTAATAGGCAGCTTCAACGGAACCAACGACCAGAACAAATATTCCCGTTCTTACCCTAACAGAAATGATCCAAAACGCCTCAAGAATATCAAAACACCACGTTTCTGTCAGAAACCTTCTGCGCCAGAATCCGAAACCACGACGAAGAACATCAACCCAGAAAAAAATTAGAAAGCAGCCTCTTTTGCCCCTCGAAACCACCCACCGGCGAGATCGGCCTTCTAATGACACCTCCGATCAGCAACAGAAACCGTGAAAGAAGAAGATGACGAACGAAACCCTAGCAAAGCTCAGCAAAAGAAGGCTTCCAAATTTTCCTGCTGTGGACCAGCTGCCCTGATACGATCTCGCGATTACCGATCCTCAGGCGTTAACTTTCTTCTGGTGATTCTATGGGTCGCTCGATGGCGATTAGACCGCGAAGAAAAGAGCAAGAAGAGAACTAGAATTGCAGGACCATGCGGGGAGAGAGAGAAGGAATGAGAGGAGGGTCACAGTGATTGGCTTTGTAGCATTCTTTGATGCTGGTGGAGAGGGCATGATCGGACGGCAGTAGTCCAATCATGTCGCAGTGCACCAATCTTGATGATCATAAAAATATATGAGATGGAAGATAAGATTTTAAAATATAAGCATTGGTGATATTTGGGTTTGTTCCACTTTGGACTTCTCCTTCTTTCTCCTCAAAGATAGTATTTTTAAAAAGAATTTATTCTCATTAATCATATTTATAAATTAATAATTTGGGATAATTATGAGGGTTTTGTAAAAGAAAATAATGTTCAAATTGATCTTGTGGTCATTATTATTTTCTTTTTCATTTTCAAAAAATTTATAACTTTTTAGCAATCATCATACTTTGTTTGGGACGGCGGTGTGGCCGCGGTGCGACGCAACACAACAGTTTTATTTGTTTGGATAAACTATGTTTTAACATTTTTTTCAAAATTTTTTGACTGAAATCTACATTTTTTCAATGTTCCTGTTAGGTGCAGTGACAGCTCTGCAATCTAACTTTAAAAAAATGTAATTATCATGACGATTTTCTAAATATTATATTATTTTTTAGCAGTTCCACAGTTGTTGTTAATAAGTTGCAGCAACTCCAAACAAAACTTAAGTTGCAAACTCAAGTTTTGCACCGTAACATTTTGAAAAAACAAGCAAATAACATTTTTACTGAAACCAATAAATTACACTACGACATCACACAGTCACACCACACATTCTAAACGAGTAAAGTGTCAAAATAGTCTCTAACTATTAACATGTGGCATTTTTTATCCTAAAATTTATAAAGCTGTCAAAATAGTCTTTATGTTTCTTAAATTGGGCTGAAATAATTCCCATGATGGACTGTCGGATCTTAAATTTAAAAGATTTAGAAGTTATTTTGACACTTCTATAATACTATAATTATTTTTATGATTTATCAAAAAAATAAATAAATGGTCAAATTCATTGAATTTCACATATATTATTGGAATTTGAGCTCACTCATAATATTTCTTATATGTGCGTATAAATTATGTTTACTAATTACTATTAATGTGCAATTATAATAAATAATTCCATCACAACCTCTCTGTTGACTTTAAAAATTCTTTTTTCCTCTTTTTTATTAGACCTAAAATAATTCGTTTTCTCTTTTTACGAATTAATCCTCCTAAATCACATTTATTTTAAAAATAATTTATAAATTTTCATTTTTTTAATCATAAAGCATGGCCTTATTGAAAATCATAGTTAACGTAATTAATTGAGCTTAATGTGACAGACTCTCCTAATCACAGCGCGCTGTACACGTCACAACATAATATAGTTATATAGCAATATAGCAATGATTAAGATTTAAGCTCGCCTACAAGATGGGGGCCATATTGTGCCAATAAACAATTGAGAAATTTACATATCTCACGTCTAAATTTTAATATTAACATTTATAATGTTTTGGTGTGAAAAACATAATAATTATTATATTTTTAGGGTATGTTTGGGGTTAATTATTTATAATATGAATAATCTGATTATCTGATTGTCATAATAAGTTTGTTTGTTGTTTGTGGCAGATTATTCATAATAGTTTATTGGTAGTTATAGTTGTATAAATGACATTCTTGTCTATGTTTGATAAAACAGTTTGGGCCAGCTTATTCAAAATAGTTTATTGGTAGTACAAAAACGTATAGTGCAGAAACATAAAATCATCTCAAATCAGTTCTAAAATATGACATACAGTTTTCACACTCTCGTGAGCGTCAGAAAAAATCTCAATACAATAGCAACACAAGTCAACAACAGTCCAAATAATCACAATGACACAATTTCAAAGGATTTGTCACCAATACAAACAACAGTGTAGTTATCTGCTCAAACAAAAAATATATATAAGGACGCAAAAAATTATATGGTTCGGTCAAATATCCACATCTATAGTAAGACATCAAACATATTTTATTGTGCAATTGTGTGAGGTTACATAACTATAAATCTTAAGCGAAAACACTACAACATGCAAGTCTTCCTTCATTTTATCCCCTTGGTGATAATAAAAGTTCCCCAACTAACAAATAAAAATAGAACGTGTTTTCATTCTTCCTCCCTTTTCATGTATGCTAAAAACCGAATGCCAGTTTTTCTCTTCTGATCCGCATTTTGACAGCTAGAAATGTGTGAAAAATGTTTCATATAAAACCTGAATGCCTCATAAATTTCATTTGAAAGCCTAATATAAAAAACGAAAAGTCTCGCATGTGCATATGAACAATAAACCAAAAGCAAGTACACCCGGTAAATTCATATTTCTATATCGGAAAGACCAAGCAAGCATTAGCATATCTCAATTGGAATGATTTGATTATGTCAAAAAAAACTTTATAACACATTTGAGTATAAAACATTTCAATAATTTTATAATTAATGTCATTCTTAAACATTATCATTTTGTACGTACTTAACTCCCCAATACTATAACCATTGCCATTCTTAACATAACACAAAAGATAAGAGTATGGAATCCTCTCAATGGCAATGTAGATATAGGTTTGAAACATTAGAGTTGCAGACTACTAAGCTACCAAGGAGAATAAACAATATCGTAATGATTTGAGATGCATTTTCATGAACCAATCTATAATCTTCAATCTATAATTGTATCAAGATTTTCTTATTTGAACAAAGTCAAGCAAGATGTACATGTGTCTTTTGGTTATACACTTTACAAATAACCAAATCAATTTCCATAGCTTGCATCAAAGTCATAATCAATACCAAGGACGATGGCACTTGCCACTAATAGAGATTGCAATGAATACATAGATATGCAGCTCATAAAAAAAATTTAATAACAACATTTTCATGAACTAAGCTCGTACTTATGTTTCCTATAAACGGGAGTTAATTGTAGCCCATAAACAACAACTCCTAAACTTGAAAAACAGGAATTAATAACAACTCTTAAGCCTTTCCTTCCTCTATAAGGAGCTTACAAATTATTCCTCAAGCCATGAAAAAATCCTTGCTTTTCAACTTGAAATAAAAAGAAGAAGAAGAAAATCATTGTTCTTCGATCATGCAAAAATCAGAAAAAATCGAAACAAAATTCGGGTCCAATATAAGGAATCCATTCTCCAAACATTTTTTCACGCCCAGAAAAAAACGAAAGGAATTCTAGGGCAACCAGAAAGAACCATTTGCATTGTTCGAGTTGAAAATAAAATTAAGAAGACGAAAATCCTTGCTCTTCGATAAAGGAAGAAAAAAATAACAAAGAACAACGACGTTCTATCATCTAGAAAGAACCATTCACGCCCAGCGACGTTCGATCGCTCTAGGGAAAGCATACATTACGAATTGACGGTGAGGGAAAACATACCTTACAAATTGGAAAAAAAAATCGAAAGGAACACGGTTCAATCTTCTATAGGGTGACAAATATAGGGAGGGAGAGTGCGAGGGAGATCACGGGTATCCAGGGCAACATACAAGCTAAACGCGGGACACAAGTCTTCACTCATGTCTAAGGCCCTTAAGAAATTTCATAGCGCGGACGCAGTACGTCATGAATAAGCTGACCGAACGCTCCCTCCAAACACTACGACAGCGTTTTCAAAATATCGCCGCACCTAAATAAGCTGCCACAAACTGGCCCTTAACGTTATGTTAAGGCTTTGTGTGACTTGCATGTAAATATAATTATTTAGATGTTAAATATATAAATACATAAGAAATGTGTGGCATGCAAATGTCCAAAATTATGTAATTGTCCATAAATTATATTTTTCATGCTGAAATGTCACATTAAAGTCTAGAAAAATCAAAGTTTATTTTTTTTGGCTCCATTCATAAAAATGACAAATGGGTTATTAAATATTGTCTTTTAAAATTTTCCTTTAATATTTGATATATTAAATTTTTTTGTCATTAAGTGCTATGCAATATACTTCTTAAAATCTTAGATAGATATAATATTGAGCATCATTTTCACCTCAATTATTAATTCATGCGAAAATTTTTAAAATAATTTCATAAATATTATTTTTCTATGTAAAAAAAGGGCTTTTATAGACTTGCCACATGATTTTTATATATTTGCATAATTAACATATACATAAATAAATATTACATACACATATATTACTTAACATGTCATAAAAAAATATGGATATTATTTAGTTGGGGCATTTACATGAATACAACCCAATTTTCATGTATTTACATATAAAACACTTGGGAATTATTTTTTATATTTATGCCATCAAAATATTTTCATATTTCATAAAAAAACATGATTATCTTAACTTTTAATATGCGGAATAGGACACATATATTAAAAAAATAGCTGTTAAATGTTTAAATGAAGATAAATTGAATGTTCTGTAAGTAAGTGTTCCTATTTACTTCAAAAAAGTGAGAAATGCAATGCATTGTTTTATCACAACCAAAATATTTTAAATGTAGATATGAATAGGGGTGTAAATGAGCCGAACATGCTCAGCTCGTGTTCGGCTAGTTTATATTTCGAGCTCAAAAAGTGTGTTCGTGTTCGGCTCGTTTGCTTAACGAGACGAACGCGAGCTTTTCACGAACAAATAGTCCTTTTAACAATCCTAATCATGTTGCCATAAGACAATAAGGGTTTGAGAAAGATTTAAAAATTATTATTTATATTAAAACATCATTTGAATCTAATTTAATAATTTTTATTATATTTTCTTAATCAATATTTTAATTGATTATAAATTTTTGTAGCCTTGTTGTCAATTAGATTTTTTTAAAATACTACTTTATATATATATATATACACACACACACTTGATGTAGTATTTCGAGTCAAAACGAGCCGAACACGAACAAACACATATTAATTTGTGTTCGGTTCGTTAACTTATTAAACGAAATTAACGAGCGAACACGAGCTGTTCGCGAACAATGAGCCGTTTTGACAGCCCTAGATATGAAAGCCAAAATGATAGATATGTAAATATATAAAAGCTGGGTGGCATGTATCTAAATTTGCCAAAAAAACATAAAAATTGGATTTTTTTTTTTTGTTCAAACTCCAATAATGTGAGGTAATGTGTACTACATTGCGAAAGTTATTTTGAGATTATTGAAGTAGAATCACATATATTATTTTGGAGTTATTTCAGAATTATTGAAGAGAAACTCATATATTACTTTTAAATAACTATGAGATAACTTACAAACAACCACAAAATAATCTATGTGGTTCTACTTCAATAACCCCTAAATAATACTGTAGATGTTATTTTAAAGTTATTTTTTTATTATTTTTAGATTATTGGAGAGAAATTCTATATTCTGCTTTAATAATTTCGAAATAACATAATTTTAAAATTATTGCGGTGCCCAACATTACACATTAATATTTTACTAAAAATTGAGAACTAAACCTATAAAGGAGAAAACGGCTTCTTCGTGCACCAAATGTAAAGCCAGGCATCCCTCGTTGCCGTTTCTTTCAGACAACCCATCGGGAGTATCGATCGAAGCTCATTCTCGGCCATCGATGACGACGGATACCTCGTTTCCCTTTATGTTTACTTCCGTGACGACAAATTTCTCTCCTACCTTTCTGTTTTCCTCCGCCGTCTGGCTCTCTGATCGATTCACCTCGCCATTATCTCCGCTTTCAATTCACTTGCGTTGTTTCAGTTCGTTCGATGAGGTAGCGGGAGGAGAGGAGCAAAAAATTTGATATTTTCTGGTTTGCCAGCATCAAGAGGTAAAAACCCTTTGCCGCTTCTTTGAATTGATTGGGTTTGTTTGAGGTTTTTAAAGAAAATTGATTATTCTTTGTTTTCTGTTCATTGTTTTTGTTTCTCTCTATTATAAATACTGTTGAATGCTGATTGGTTCGTGAATCACACCCTTAAGAGTTAGAGCCTAAAAAAACATGAAGTGATTTTGAGACAGAAAATGAACAGCAAAACTTATCGTCTATTCTACTTTTATCATAAAATAATCTCATTAATTTTAGATGAGAAACTACAATTCATTTACGCCTCAGCTGCCCTACGACTTGGTTGGTTAGACTAGCATGAATTTGGCTCGATGGGCCACTTCGAGCGGCTTGGTTGGGTCAAGGCAATCCGTCGTTTGGATTAAGTTGACTTCAGGTCTACAAGACTTGCTCGATAGGCTAGACCTTACCGATTGGTTCGTCTAGTCTGATTGCCGACCTGCGATCCCTGGATGAGAATATCTTATCGGCAAAATGAGACTGAGCTATTAAGTAGAGGGTGAATCACAATAATTCGATAGATAACTCATTTCTCAATGAGGGGGGTTCTTCGAGACTATCGTGAGACTCTCTTGTATTGTCAATTCTTGATCCGTGATGAGAAACCTCGGGGATGTTCATGGGACGACTGATGATAGCGATGAACTAGATTCTTGTCTATATTTTGATTTGTATGTCCAAGCCTGATCGACCCATATTTGAATCGTTTTTTTGGTTATTCTCCTGGCTTGGTTGGCCTTGTCCTTTGTCCTTGGCTCGGATGGTTGTATCCAATTGAATAAGTGGGACCTCTTATTATTCTATCGATGGACCCTCCTTCGTTATACTTCCTTCATTTTGGACTATTGGATCTCCTCGGGATTCATGTGGACACATTTTGGATGTACAAATACAAATGTCGTTAGGGTTTATTAATGTAATGATAATAAAGATGGTTAGAAAATAAATCATGCAATGGAATGATACCTTATTTTGGTTCTCTATTTTAGTAAATTCTGAAATTTTGAATTTGCATGCAGATTTATCATAATGGGTTTATTTAGATAAAATTTTGTTTTTTAACGACATGGGAATGGTATTAGCCGCCTAGATTTATAATAAAGAGAGGAACCATAACATGATGGTGTTCGATCAGTGTTTCACTATCGGTCTTATTTGTGATGGTTTGTGTTGATGGAAGTGTTTAGAGGCGAGCTATAGAGGTGAGATTGATTGAAGCAAGCCAGAGTAATCTATGTTTATTTTGCAAAGTATCATTTTTTTTCGAACTCAATTTTTTTAGGGGCATTTACATACATAACACACCCAATGTCCCAATTCCTACATGTTTACATATTTAACAGTTAAATTTTACTTTTTTACATTTATAGCACCCGAATCATTCACATGAAAAAAAAACCACCATTTAACTTCTTAAAAGTGAAATATGCCTTTGCGTGCATACGTAAGTTGGCATACATGTAAAAATTGAAGTTTAGGTCTTAGATACATAAATAGATATGAACTGAGTGGTATTTATGCAAATGCCTCTTTTCTTTTCTAGTTATCATACGAAGCATTACCTCAAATTTATGAACAAATGGTAACAAAATAAAAAAGGAAAAAAAATATAGACAAATGGCTTCTAAGTCCTTATCTTCTAAGAGGCTTTGACCATGTTCCATAGGATAAATTTATAGACAAATTTATAAATTTCAATTTAAGGCTCATGAAGGCATTTGTCTATAAATTTATCCTATGGAACATTGTCAAAGCCTCTTAGAAGATAAGGGCTTAAAAAGCCATTTGTTTGTAAAACTGAGGTCACATCAATGCTTTGTATGATAACTAGAAAAGAAAAGGGACATTTACATACATAGCGTATGTATTTATATATCTCACACCTAAACTTTCATATTTACACACATTATACTAAAATCACCAATATCACAAAAATAACATTATTATCAATTTTTAAAATTGAAATATTCATTTTTATGTATAGGTTTAAAACACCAAAGTGTTATGAATGTAAAAGTTTAGGTGCGTGCATGTAAAAGTTTAGGTGTGGGACATGTAAATGCATAAGGATTGTGTTCTAAGTATGTAAAGTTTCCATGAACTTTTGCTAACTTGGCCTTATATAGCTATATGGGAATTTGAACTAAGAGAGTTCTAGGCAACTTAGCTCACTTAGCCTAATTGAGTTTCATGCAACTTGGCTAAGTTGACCCAAGTGTGTTTCACGCAGCTTAGTCAACACAACAGAGCATATTGGGTGTTGTACACAATTTCTCCATTGTCATGTCCCTCATAAGTCTATTAAGAACAAAAGAATTAATTTGGTGGCCCCTCAAGTGTGTATTTTAGGATTTAAGTTGACAAAATCAATTTTACCCCTATGCCTTTTGATATTTTTGTAAATAAAGTCAAAGGAGCGGGCGTTGTCGAAGGATATTTATCATTGAAGTTTTCATATTAGGGTCATATTGGCACTTCAAGATAGAACTATTCGCAAGCATGATATCCTTATTTTATTGTTAAATATATGCAGCAGAATCACGTGATAAGAAGCTATATAAGTTTAACGGATTATCCATAGCATGATATTAATAATCAATATAGCACAATTTGCATATAAACATGAATGTCATGAGTCCTCTGATGTCATCCTCATAGAAGTTTCTTATATCGTTAATATATTTAAAAAATATATTAGCATGGAATGTTTTTCCTTTAAAATATTTTCCATAATTAAGTTCTCAGTAGCTTATAAATATGACTTTATGGATTAATATGCAAAGCGCTAAGTGAATCATAGTTCATCATAGTCACAGAATAGGCACAGTGTGGAGTTTGAATGGTCCCAAGTGACTTAAATAGTGCATTTGGGTCCCCTGAGTAGCTTATACAACTTTTAGCCACGCACAAAGTATCAAACAATACCTTTCATGTAAATTTATTTTCTTTATAATGTTGCTGTTAGGATTATTAATTCACAAATAATATAAGAATATCGATATTTATCCACGAACATAAGCACATTAATTTTTTACACGAGATTTAAACTCATACAACAAAAGTGGTGTCGACTATATGAAAAATTTTTCTCCGTTGTGTCATATTTTCATGTAATTCTAATAAATCAAGATAATTTTTTTAGACAACATGCCCAAGTTATTTTAAGTCAACTTATACTTTTCTTAACATAGTCAAATCTAAAACATCTGTTCTCATTATCGGATCATTGGATGGTTGATGTTAAATATGACCAAACCATCTAAGACGATACTATCTAATATTGTCTGCCATTGGAGATGCACCAGCCCATTCACAAATGCATTTGTTTCACATTTTGTCTGTTAAGTCCCCAAGCCACTCATCCACCGTCATCCACCGAAGCATTCTCATCTCAAAAACACTTAACTTAGTTTTATGCTTCTCTTTTAAAGGCCAACATTCTACACTATAAAGCACTACAGGTCTCACCACCATCATATAAAATTTTCCTTTAAGTCTAAGCGGCACTTTTCTATCCTGATGCATTCTTCCACTTAAACCATCCAACTTGAATTCTACTAATAACATCCCCATCCATATCACCATCGCATTGAACAATAGATCCGAGATTCGTGCTCATAGTAAGTGAAAAATGGAATTCATGATTTTTTTGTAGATAAACTTGTTAGGGTAGCATAGATTATTTAACTTATCTAAAAGTGGCTATTATAATTTGTATTTTTTTCAAAGTTAAAATTGCTTAATGATTTAGAATTTTTTTTTCAAAAGTTTTTGGCATGCTCTCAATCACCTCCCTCATTTTATTCTCTCCGAAAATCCTTGCTAGCAAGTAGTCCTTCAGCGCTCTACCTTAAGCCCGAAAGTTTTGAGGCATGATTTAGTCAATGGTGAAGAGCAAAAATCATATATTTATAAGCTATATGGAAACCTGAAACTGATTTTGCATTAATGAGTTTGGAGGTGAAGAGAACTTTAAGATAAGGATGCGGTTATTTTTGGCTTGTGATGATTATAAAGATGTTAGACTCTTGTGGGACCTTCATTTATTGTTGTTTTACAGACAGCGACATGTTAAAGAGGAGGATATTAGCCATGAGTTAAAAATTTCTATATTTAGATATGAATGTTTTGAGACTAAATGATTTGTATATTCGGGTCCCTTAGCTCTTAAAGCAATTCATTTCCCATCTCAGAACTCAATCTTTTGGTCATGGCCTGTGACACTTGCCAAAATTGGCCACCCTACCCACCATTGCTTGGAGGAGTAGAAAGTTCAAATTTTGAGTATGGGTTCAAATTAGTTTGGGTCATGTTTACTCATTTTAATACATTCTCATAATTTGTCATTTTTTTTACTTTTACAAGACTTATAATCTGAACATAGAAAATTTCATTATATAATTATATATTAAAGTGGTGTGGTCTGCAACTCCACATGCCATAGGTCTTGAGGTATTCCATTTTGGATGCTTGTAAAATGAGGGCATTTGACCTCATACACATTGTTCAAATTCTCTATTTTCTTGACACGGCATACTTCCCTCGTAGTGTTTGTCGTCCCCTAACTTAGACTTTGGGAGCTCAGAAGAGTGAGTCAAGGATGTCCCACATATTCATTGTTTGGAGGAGGTGAAGGCCCTTAGAGAGCGAGACGATGAACAACTAATATGTAGGCCTTTGTTAAGAAATGTTTTTGAGGATAGGGTTGTAAACGAGTTGAGTCGAGCTCGAGCTACCTTTAGCTGGAGCTTCATTAATTAATCGAGTGTGAGCTCATGCTCTAGCTTAATTCTACGAGTTCGAGCTAGCTTATGATCAATTCAAGTTGGTGTTATAATAAAATGACAAATAGAATGAGCAATTAGATTATGAAATATAAAATATAATTTTTTTAAATGATTTTATTAATTTAAAAATAAAGTATTGTATTTTAATATATTTTGAGTATATTTTGTGCTTATTATTTTTCAAACAAGTCGGCTCACAAGTCATATCGAACCGCAGCTACTGGACAACAAGATGCTCTCCTCTACCTCTAGAGACGGCTCATAATGACACAACCAACCATAGCTCTACACATTCTCCTTTATACCCTTTGCAACTTACTCTCTAGAATATTCTATTTACCTTATGTAAGAATGTTCCTGATAGTTAGGGGAATATAGGGCATTACACAGCTTCTTGCTAGTATGCTAAGCTTTTTTCTCAACTATGTAGTGACTACTAAGGAATCCATGTTTATTCCTGTTCTTATCAGTAAGTTCTATTCTAATTCTCTCCTTTTCACATATAAGACCTTGAGTTGCATAAATGTAATTTCATTATTTTTCAATTTTTATCAAATATATACTTTTGGATTAAATTCTACAAATGAGTTAGTTATTTGTAACCACTGCCTTAAAAAAAACAAATGCTTTTAGTAAGTGTTTCTATATCAACTTCATCAAATTGGAAATTTTCGAGTTTTTAATATTTGTAATCTAAATACATATATTATCTTTTTTTTTTTTTATATATAGAAAGAATGGTCGGAGGCTATTGTACGAGCCCCCGGCCACCCTTATGTGCCTAACTATTCGAGGACCGCTCTCACTACCGGCAAACTGGCTGGAGGGGATTCGAACCCGTGACCTGACGGGACTTAGGACCTTGAAAGAGGCTGCTCTAACAACAGGTCACGACTGGTGGCACAAAAACTAAATACATATATTACTTGTTCGAGGGAGCTTTGGTAATTTTGTAATAAATGATTTTCATAAAAATACTTGTAGATGCTATTTGTTGTCTGAAGTCTTGAGCTAAGAAAGGAATGGAGGAGATTTACACAAAGCCATTTGAATCTGTGCAAGCTGCAATAACTTTGTTTGAGCAGAAGATTGATCCTAAAAAAAGCAGCAGTAGCAGTAATAAGGTAAGATTTAGTGGGGAAGATATAGGTGTTATTTCTGCTCGACCATTTATTTGACGGGGCATTTACATACATACCGCCCAATTCTTATGAATTAACAAATCTAACACTTAAACTTTACCTTTTCATTTATATCACCCAATTCTTTTTTATCCCATAAAAAGGATTTTTACGTGCCAACCGCCCAAATATTAAATATAATATTTTAACCACCCGAACTTTAAAGGTAATATTTTAACCACCTTTTTTTTTACAATCACTTTTATTTACTCACTAGCAAAAGTTTTGTGTGAAAGTTTTGAGCAGTTAAAATGTTGTATTTAAAATTTTGAGCGGTTAAAATGTTATATTCAATGTTTTGGGTGGTGATCATGTAAAAATCCCTTTCTTAAAAATATCATCATTTTTAACTTTTAAAATGTGAAGTGCACCTTTTCATCGGTAGGTTGGGTGGTATAAATGTAAAAAAATAATGTTTGGGTGTCAGAGATATAAATACATAAAAACTGTGGTATTTATGTAAATCTTCATAATTTGATTTCTTCTTTTGGTGACTAGGGAGTAAAAGGAGGATTTTTGAAGGATTTAACAGATTCTAGTCTGTTGCTAGAGGCCACCGAACACGAAAAAAGCCTCGGCTTTTTCGAATTTGACGCATCTTCTAAAAGCCCCGAGGAATTATTGGCTTTGTTAAAGCTCTGTAAAGCTGAAAGAGACAATTATAAGGAGAAATTCAGAAAATCACAAGCACTCTTTTTGGAATACGAGAAAAGATACCATTTTTTTCCTTCTGTTAGTAATTTGGAAGCCGTCGAATCAAGAACTGCTCGAATGAAAGCTGAAATGATGAAGACAGAACTAATTGTAGAAGAAGAAGGTTCCCAGGAGCTTCTGAAGCATACTTCAGAGATTAAAAAATTTAAATTTTCATCTCAACGGTCAAATATCGAGGCAACGAAGCACAGTTCTGCTTTCTGTGGTGAAATAGAAGAAGATCTGGAGGCTTCTGGACCAGAAGTTTTTCAGTCAGAGATACAGTTACAGTTTCTTAAAAGGCATTTTGCTGAAATGGAGTTTCTGGAGATTGAGCTTTTGAAACAAATTATAATGTCTGAATATTTACATGTGGAATTAAAGCAGTCAAAAGAGGCGCAATTCTTTTTCTCGAAAGATATTGTTAAATCGGAGAATGAGCTGATGAAACGAGTTGATTCTGGGAACGAAAAACGTGTTCTTGAGATCAAAGAGGAAGGGAAAAGAATGAAAGAAGATCTGAATTTCCCATGGGAGAAGATAAATGGAGCTGAGGGAGCGAAAACTAAGCTACAAAAACCATTCGAGAAAGAGAATGAAGAAGCTTCCTTCATTAAGAATAATGCATTCACTATGCTTGATTCTGATGGCTTTTGCGCCGGAATCACAATCTCCATGGAGGAATACGAGTTTTTGATCCAGAAGTCTGAGATAGCAAATCAAACGAAGGGCGAGTCTTCTGGCGAATATGATGTGAAAGAGTTGAAAAGAGAACTGGAAGATAAGAATTCGGAAATAAGTGAGCTGAGATGCCTGTTAGAAGAGGCTGAGAGAAGAGCTGAATTGGCTGAGAAAGCCAAAATGGTAGTGGAGAGTCAGCTCAGGAAGTGGAGGGATCAGCGGCGGCTGAGACGAGCTGCTTCCGATGCAGTAAAAGACTACGGCGCTACGAAAAATGATGTGAACAGACAACATGAGAAGCCTCTGTTGTCTAAATTGGCTTGCATCAATCCTGAGGCTCATGGCCATCCTCCTCATCCAAAAAGGAGTGCTTCTGTTCATGATGGAAGAAAATCTAAGCACATTCCGCTCGGTAAACTTCTAAAAATGAAGTTTTAGTCGTCACAAACTTCTAAAAATTAATTTTTTGTTATTGCAAACTTTTAAAAATTAAATTTTTTTAGTTGCAACTTCTTAAAGTTGAGCTTTGGTAGTCATGATGTGGGAAGAGAGCTTTGAATCATAAGAGTTGGGCACCAATGGAAGTTATGAACTTGCTCTTTGCCAAACTAATTCATTTGGAATAATATATTTTGAATATTCCAATACCTTATTCTTGCATTTTACTCTTGTTTTTTGCAGGGGTTCTTACATACATAACATACAATTCTTATGTATTTACAAATCTCACCCCTAACTTTTGTATTTATGCACATTGCTCCTCAAATCTTTAATATCGTAAAAAAAAATAGCACTATTACCACTTTTTACGTGGAATATACATTTTCCCTGTGTAGATTTAAAACACTGAAGTGCTATGTGTAAATATGAAAGGATGGGTGTGAGATATGTAAATACATAAAAATTGTGTGTTACCCTGTAAATTATCCTTTCTTGTCTTATCTGCTGCACTAACATTTCTACGAGAACTAATTGTAGTGTTAAACTATCGTGCATTTGGAATTCATTTTCCGGTTCAATTTCATTGTATTTGGAATTCACTGGATGCGGCCAAATTATAAATACACGGCTTTGTATAAAGTGTTTTAACCATGGACACCCCTCTGGCCCCCTGCCGCCGTCTACCGTCGCTCGCTTGCAACCCGCCGACTCACCATGAGCCTTAGCAAAGCCTACCTGCTAGTTAGTCCGGCCATCCGTCGCCGCCGCCACTGGCCATCCTTCGCCGCCAGTAACAACCGTGTTTTATATTTATTCAAAATAAATGAAAGCATTCACTTTTTCAGCAAAGCAGACAACCTAAAGAATTCTCAATTTTAAGGGGCATTTTTACAAAAATATCACACAACTCCTATATATTTGCACATCAAACATTTAAACTTAAATATTTATATTTATAACACTCAAATCTATGTCTTCTATTCCTTTTTGCTGCATGAGTAAAGTATTGTAAATGTAAAATTCAAATTTTAGATATTAGATGTATGAATGCATAGAAATTGTGGCATTTATGCAAATCTTCCATTTTTTTTGTATTTATGTGTAATTTGTGTTATTTACACTGCTGAAAATAATAACTGATGGCATTTTCATTTGATGGAAATTTTTTTCACATGAAGTTGTAAATAGGGAAAACGCTAGCATGAATCTTGAGGAGATCCAATTGTTCAAAAGACAAAAAAATACAATTAACAAGGGCCCACTAGTGGAAGTCCACTAGGCTCAATTATCTAACCGAGCGTCCAAGACAAAGCAAAGGTTAACTGAATGTAGTAATCCGAGGTAGAGCAAACAAAGCCAAATATATTCAAATGATCCGAGCATGAACCCATTCAACCTAGACAAGACCGATAGACATGCAAGCCAACAACCACAATAAAGTCTATCACAACTGGCAATCAACCTTTTGATAGACTAGACCAGAGGAAAAACAACACCGTCTATCATTTTAGGGATTCCCAAGAGACTCATTATCAAGAATCGAGAGGTAACCATGCCACGATAAGTCTAAATCATCCATCCTGCACTCCATTTTGAAGAGTGAGCTATCTATCATGTTACATGATTCACTTGTTTTTCCAAAAACCTATCATCACTTAGCAAATAAAGACATTTATTAATGATCAAAGTTTGATAATAAAAAAAATAAGCCGACTGACAAAGTTCAGTTAATTGAGCCAATCTTGTTGATGAAAATCAATTGAAACTGACTATCAACCTTGACTCAATATAACCAAACAATCATGCCTCACCTAACCAAAACCTATCAAGCTAGAAGGAAGTTGGGCCATACATCCATGCATGTAATGTCTGGATTAAAGCAAAGACTTAACATGTACTTCACATATTATATCATATCCCCATAAACATGTGATAATTTTACGAATAGAACAGCGAATTACTGTCTCTATCTCTATCTCTTTCTTCTTTCTAACACTATAATGCCTAAGTTATGATTCACAAACAATTCAAAATTCAATATAAGCAGTTGAGTTTTTAATTCAATATAAACAGTTGAGTTTTTATTTCAGTTGAATGACATTTATTTTAGAGCCCAATATAATAAATTTTAATTTTTGAATTAATATTTAAATAATTATTGAGTACTAGACATGATTGTTGGCCCTAAAAGTAAGACATTGATTTTGCTCTTGATAGATAGATAGACTTTAGATGTCTCCTTTAGATTTTATTTAAATTAAGTAGCTATATTCCTTATCAATCAACCCCACACTTGCTTTTATAAAGCCCAAATTTGGGCTTCAATTCTTGGCTCCATTATTAGCTCAAAATAGTACTCATGCAACCCACCAATCACCAATTTCCAATAGTAATAATATTTACGTGCATGCCCCATGATTCTTATGTATTTACATATCTGACCCTTCAAGGTTTTTATTTTAATTATGAAAATATGAAAGTAACTTGAAACTAATGAAACCTTATGATGTGCAAATATTTTGAATTATAAGGGCGTTCTAGTGATTTATAATAAACTTACTAAATACGTGCCTAGATAAAATTTTAGGAAAATTTACATATATACCATTAACTTTGTTTGTATTTACCTATATAACCTCTAAAGTTTAATATTTACATTTATAACGCTATAGTGTCATGAACTTATGCATGAAAATACATATTTTACTTTTAAAAAGTTAGTACTTATGATATGTTGACGTCATGATGTGATATTAAAGATTGGATTTTTATTTATATAAATTTGAAAGTCCAGGGGTTAAATATGTAAATACATAAATTGTGATTACTCTCTCACCCAACCTAAGAATTTTTTTTTTTAAATATATACCACATAATTCCGCATATTTATATATGTGACACATAAAAATTCATTTTCTTTAATTTATAACATTTGATGCCATAAAATATATGCATAAAAATATTTATTTAATTTTAAAAAAATTAAGCAATAATGCCATTTGTATAAAATATTAAAAATTTGATTGCCATGCATATAAATATAAAAAACTAGATGACGTATATGTAAATATATAAAAGTTATGTAGTATGCATATAAATGCCCCAAATAAACATCTACTTAATAAATAAAAACGAAAAAAATTACTTCTTACCTGCCGATTCTTTTTTTCTTACATATTTATCCACTAAAATTTGATAATTACATTTATCATATTCTTATTTTATAAGGTCATGAATAAAAATACGCATTTCACCTTAAAAAATATAAAAAAAACATGTAATATTTGTATTACAAGATTAAAAATTTGAGAGTTATTTTGTAAATATAAAAAATCAGATATAAAATGTTTAAATGGATAAGATTATGTGGTATGTTAGTATTTATCCAGATGTATGGATGTTAACGATTTCGAGGAGAGCTGGGGTTGGCTCGAAATTGGATTTCATATATTTAGTTTAGCTCAAAGAAACTCGCGGATTGTTATATTCAATTTCGAGCTCAGCTAACTCGGAATTGAATCAAGCTCTGTTGAGAATTTTAGGGCTAAGAAAAATAAGAATAGACACAAATATAGAAGAAAACACAGAGATTTAAAAAAGTTCGACAAAGATGCATACGTCATTAGGAACAAAGCGACGACATTTATTTTAATTCAGAAAAAGAGTACAGGATACCTTCGGTTATAAACAAGACACACACACACACACACACTAAAGAGAGATAGATCCCTGGTGTTACAAACAAGATATATATATATATATATATAACCTTGACGTACAAAATGTAATTACAAAATTATTGTTGTACTGTATCGCAGAGGTGTTGCCCCCGCACCCCCAACCCACATAACAAAAACTTTCATTCCGCTCTGTTCGTTTGCTCCATTTAGCTCTAGCATTTGTCCTTTATCTGTTATACGAGCCGTACCTAACAAGCTCTATCCAGCTCGAAATCAAAATGAGTTGGCTCAAATTGAGTTATTTGTATCCATTTCAGATAAGAAGCAGCTCAACTGGGCTCAAAATTGAAACTAATTGACTAAGATTAACTTGAATATGTTATAACTCGGAATACAAACAAAATTGGCTCATGACTCATTATATTCAATGTAGTACTACATAATTTTTATAATTAAAAAAAAATACTTTGAGCCGATCTCAAATATGTTCGGTCTGATGCATTTGTACGTAGAAGTCTACTAAAAAAAAAATGATTTAAGGTTCGACTTATTTATTTCGATCGGAATCAAAATTTGAATTGAATATGGAGACCTTTAATCTAAATACACATCCCTATCCAAATGCATATTTAAAAAAATATAATTAATATTATATTAAATTAAATATTTATTTTTGAAATAATAATTGAGGATATACTTTTCGAACGTAAAATTACCGATAATTTTCAGGAAAATAAATCCGTAACGCACGCTGTCAGGCCCTCTGCCCGTAGTGCTCTGCCCACGTGTCATAAAATCTGGGTAAAAATTGACACCCAAACGTGCACCCAACTAAATTTCCGGGTCAAAATTCACCCACTCGCATTCTACAGCTTACTCGAAACCATCACAGTCATGGAAAAAACAAGAAAGATAAATAGTGAACAAATAAAAAAGCTTGGCTGGTATACGCAAGACGACAATTGTGTCGAAACCCTAACGGATCTCTTCCTCGTCACGATCTCCACTGTCCGAACTCGAAGGTGGTCGGATGTCTCAAGGTGGAGATTCACTGTAGTGATCGTTGGGCCGACGGGAGTGGCGGGCTGAAGTAGGTAGCTCTTCAG